TCTTCCACAAGTGCATAACTGTTATTGCTTGAGGCAGCCTTTCTCAAGCCTTTCAACACAGAGGACCCTCAAAATAACATTCCGCTTTCAGGGAACCCCTGCTAATAATTACTATATCTACAACACATGATACATGAGTGTGATAGTCATTGGGAAGAATGCTCCTTACACTTGTGGTCACTGGGAAGAATTACAGATGGCTAAATAGATCAACGATGCCAGGAAAGCCTGGCTTAGAGGTTCTCTAGCCCTTTTTTTTTTTTTTTTCCTTCTGATTGCCTTGCATTAGGTCCAGGGGCGGACTGACCATTTGGAAATTCGAGCACTGACGAGTGCCCGGGGTCAGTAGGGGGCCCCATGAGATGCCCCTGGTACCTTTTTCATGGGCTTTTTTGAGTTTGGGTAAGGACACGGGCCCCATGATCCCCTATTGCCCGGGGGCCCCATGAGTTGTCAGTCCGCCCCTGATTAGGTCTGTAAGGCTCTACTCTAGTTCTCAAAGGCTGTCTCCTGGTTTCATAGTGAGATTCTTTGGCTCCTGCATTTGGCAGGTATTTGCTTACCTCTGCCCTGTTCCCATTTCACTCTTTAATTTTCATATTATTGCACTTGTAGCCCTGATCAGCAGCAAAAAAAACATGCTGATTATAGCTAGCATTAATGATAGTTCCATCTGGGCAATCAGTTAATGAAAGCTTTTTGCTAAAGCTGAACTCAAGGTGTATGATCTTTATTGCATACTTAATCTGATCCAGCTTGGACCAATGAAAGTATATATATTTCAAACCTGGGGTATCACTGTGGAAGCTGACAATCACTCTAGTAGTCAGCACTACTACAGTGATCACCACTATCTCCTGGGTCCTTTGCCAAGTGGCTGTCCCACTGCACACTGACCACAGTGGTTTGCTCATTCACTGCTGCCATTCATAGAATGCTTTCTAACGTATTCCCTGATTAGAAGAGGTGGAAAGGAGGGGTGGTGACTTCACAATCTTCTCATCAAATCGGAGAACTTCTTGTATTTAAAAAAAAAAAACAACAAAAACAAAAAAAACAAGGCTTTCTGTGAATGGAGGTAGTGCTGAGCAAATGACCCCCATGTGGTTAGTGCACAATGGGGAAGCTGTTTGGTGCAGGAGAAGATTGCAGCGATCACTGTAGCAGTGCCGACTACTATAGTAATTGTCAGCTTCTACAGCAGTTTATCAGGTATGAGATACTTACATTATACCAAGCTTGACCAATGTAGGTATGCAGTAAAGGTGGTCACATGGAATTTGATTTGTTCTGTAATGTTGAAGACATTTTGTAGCTTATCCTAGCAACTTTCCCCAGCATACCCCATTCTGGGGTATTTTCTGGATGCTCATTAGAACTGAGGAAGTGACTTGAATTAGCTACAAAACATCTTCAACATTACAAAAGAAGTCTCCATGAATGTGATTAACTTCTACTAGATATCCATTGACCTGGATAAATGAACATTCCCAGACATACTTGTTACGTATAGCAGTGGTGACATCTAGAGGGCTAGAATGAAATTACTGCATTTCCTATATAATTAATGGAAGTAGATGGCTCCTTTGCACATATTTTTTTCATATGGTGTGATGGCTGGCTGAAGAGCAAGGTGATGGCGAAGAATAGATGAGCAACATATCACATTCCCATGTTTATTCACCGGAAATCTGAACAGTTTCCAGAGAACCATATTACTAGAATTGCTTATTTCACCAGAGAGCTCTGCATTTGATAACAAAGACATTTAAAAAACAAAATAAAAATACTGATCATGTGGAGATGTCCTTTTACATCTACCTGAAAGTGTAGCAATATAAGAGAATAAACTGCCAGCAGATGTTAAATGCAAGCACACAATGTCATTTTTAGGTGTTTTTTAGAACACCATGGGAGCCCAGCACCCCGGAGTACTGTATCATGCAAACACTGACTTCTGGTTGAAAGTCATGAATTCTTTTTGCAAATGTCCGATGTTGAATCTCACATGCATAGTATTGTTCGTGTATCAGCTACCTGACACTTCTGGTCATTTGCTTTGCTGTTTATGATGTTAATTTTTCAAGTTTTGCATTCTTGTGTTACTCATATACGACTGCTGTTATCAGTTGTTTACCTTTGTAATATTGAACATTTGCACCAGTATGCAGTTTGTATGATGTAAACTTGCTTAAAAACCTAATAAAAATGTATTGAAAAGAAAGTCATGAATTCGACCTGCCCCTTCCTGTCAGGCTAGGTACACATATTTGTAGTGGGGGAGTGTTTGCAAAATCTTGTGCATTCCCAGAAAACACACAATTAAGCATCCCTTTTGCAGGGGTGCAGCAGTGTCATTAAATTTTAATGGCACTCTAACACTCCTTGCACACGAAAGTGCAAGCTACCAAGAAAAAAAAAAAAAAAAAAAAAAGGGTCATGTGCTTTTGTGCAATTTTATTTATTTTTTTTTTTAGCTTCGGGAAGTCCATTGAAAGCAATGCCCAATGTCTCCCTTGCTTAATTGACTTTTTACTTAGAATTTGAAATGGGATTTTGAGTCTGAACCCAGAAATGCTCAGTGCCTATGGGTTCTTTGATCGCAGATTAGAGAATGTGCCATGATCTACTCTCACTTACCATCTGACACTATTTACTGTAGTTCCTGACTTCACAGTCGTTTAAACATTTTAACCCTTTTCTTTTTTCTAACACACGTGTTAACCAATATTCATTTCAATGCATAAAAATAGCTAAAATTGTGGTGTCCTTAAACATTTCCTAAAGTAGACTCACAATCTGACATTACCAAGAGCTGAATAACATTTTAACTAAACCTCTTTTTAAAGCAGACCTATTATTAAAATTCATAAATCAAAAGAATCAATATAGCATATGGCAGCATTATCACATTACATTTTTGTTGACTTGATCAAAAACTTTCTGTTCCTGATCTGTAATCTAAAGATGGCCAAATACCATACACGGGATTTTGTTTGAAAATGTTCATTTTTTAAACTGTTTCATTTTCTAATGGTTAGTAGGGTCAAATTAACATTCTTTTCAACCATAATGACAAGAACATTCGAAAGAGCAGGATGGAAAGTTTTTTTTCTTTTCTCAAATTAACAAAATTCTAACTGTGAAAGTGGTTTTCGTTCAAGAAAAATGGCACATATTGTAATGCACATGTTCTAGACACAAAAAAAAACCTGTTTAATATGTCTGGGAATCCAATCAACAGGTCTGAATGAAATTTTAAGGGCTTTCAAATGAAATTAAATGACTCAAGCATGGCAAGAATTAAAATCTGACAGATTATTTTTCAGAATTTCCATACGTAACTTCAAATGTAATTCTTCTTGTGCATGGTCAACCTAAGTCAAATATCACCTCAGACTACCAGGAGCTCTGTAAACAGTGCATTCATAAAGTATTTAGACACCTTCCTTTTTTAAATTTTTCTATGTTGCAGCTTGATACTACAGTTATTTAAATTCATTTTTTCTCAGTAATCTACACTCCGTATCCCATAATAAAGTGAAAACAGAATTTTACAAATATCTGAATTTATTAAAATAAAAAAAAAACTGAACTATCACATTGGCATAAGTATTCAGACCCTTTGCAGTAACACTTGAAATTTAGCTCAGGTCAGGAGAGGCTTCCATCTAGACATTCATGAAGCTAGGATCAGTGGAGGGCTGCAGTAATGGTTGTCCCATCTCCACACAGGATCTCTGGAGCTCAGTCAGAGTGACCATTGGGTTCTTGGTCACCTCTCTTACTAAGGCCCTTCTCCCCAGATTGGTCAGTTTGGCTGGGCGACCACCTCTTGTAAGAGTTCTGGTTGTGCTAAACGTCTTCCATTTGAGAATTATGGAGACCACTGTGCTCCTGGGAACCTTCAGTGCAGTAGATTTTTTTTTTTTTTGTAGCATTCCCCAGATGTGTGCCTTGCAGTAATCCTGTCTCTGATCTCTGCAGGCAGTTCCATTGTACTCATGGCTTTTGCTCTGATGCAGTATGCATTGTCAGCTGTGAGGCCATTTATAGAGAGGTGAATGCCTTTTCAAATAATGTCCAATCAATTTAATTTACCACAGGTTCTCCAATCAAGTTGTAGAAACATCTCAGCAATTTAAGTGTTGTTGAAAAGGGTCTGAATACTTATGCCAATGTGATATTACTTGTTTGCACTGCAAGCTTGTATTTTTTTTTTCTATCAGATTCCTAGAGGTCCTTTCATACCTTATCTGGTGGTGACAAAGAGGGCCAAAAATGTGCATGGTTGTTTAAGTATTGCTGAACAGAAGGCAAACTCTGCATATGTAATTTTAGGTATGGCAATTTTTACATGGTTACATTGCTCCCACTTGGAGCAATGTAACCATGTATATACTATACCTGTGGAATCTCCCTGGAAGCTGACAAATTACGGTAATAGACACCACTATCACAGTGCTCTCCAGTACTTTACAGTTCCCATGCCGAACGGCTGCCCTGCTGCATATTGTGCACAGGAGATTGCCGGTTCAGCAGGGTGCCATTCGAAGAACACTTAGCATTTTCTCAATTAATTGCAAAGTGTTCTTTGATTGCATTAGATGGAAAAATTGTGACATCACCACCCTGCCTCTCCACCTCATCTAATCGGAGAATGCTTTGCATTGAGAAATTGCAAAGTGATCTCTGAATGGAACCTGTGCTGAGCGGGCATCCTCCTGTGTGCACAATGCAGCATTGCAGCAGCTTTGCAGGGGACCCATTAGGAGATGACTGTAGTAAGGGTCTCTACAGCAGTAATTTCTAGCTTTAGGGGGATCCCACAGGTATGGTTCCAAGTTAGATCAACTATGTAAAAAATGCAGTACCAAAACTTCAGATTTAATAAATTTAATTACAGGATGATTGTTGCAGATTTAGGTATCTAAAAAGGTGAAATGGTCTTCTTTCTACAATTCATAGATTATTCTCCGTTATATATTATTTTTTTCCAGACATATATCTCTAACTCTTCCGGCAACATTCAGAGGTAGAAATAACACTCGGCCGGACTTTGAAAACCAGCAGTCTAATCTGTACGCTATCTCAGGTGAGTTTGTAATATCTTAAATTTCTTCAGAGTGATTATTTAAGATAGTTTGCTTTGCAGTGCCCTATCTTCATGACCCATTTTCTGAATGCCTCCTGTTATATTAAAGTGACTGTAGAGCTTGTTTGTCTTTATTATTTTGCTTAAGAAGAAAAAAAAAACCTGTCATACTTACCTGCTCTGTGCAATGGTTTTACACAGAACAGCCCGATCCTCCCCTTCTTGGGTGGAGACAAGCCAGGAGCGCCTAGGGGAGCCCAGGCACTCCTGGCTCATCCTCTTCATCCATTTCCACCATAGGAAGCCGCGTCTTATAGGGGGCATTCATGCAGGCTCGCTCCCGAGCCCCACTGTCTGCATCCATAGACACAAGCAGGGGCCCCCCGCTCCTTTATCAGAATTTGTTTGACTATCGATCTGCCCTGTACAGTAGGATGGAGACAGTTTGAGGTTTACAATATGCTCTAGCATAAATCTCAGCATTTTTCCTGCCTTGAGGAGCCCTGGGGGGTGCTTACAGCCAACTAAAAGAGATTACAGTAAGCCAGAAATCTGTGTTCATATGCTTTTGCATCATCTCATGTACCCAATTGAAGATGTGTACAGTCATTCATTTCAATGGCTGAGTGTATGCATACTCTGTACCTGACCTGTCCCCCTAGAAAGTGGAAATTACTGCAGCATGCACCGCTGCTAATACTACGATGATCTCCAGTAGCTTTCTGGTCCTGTACTGAGCGGCTGTCCTGCTACCTAGTGAACACAGGAGATTGCCTACTTGGTGGGGGCAAAGTATTCTGTGATAGGATGAGATGGAGATCATAATGCCCCACCCTCTCCACCTCATCCATTCAGAGAGCGCTTTGCATTCCTGGAGAGAATGCAAAGAGTTCCCTGCTGAGCGAGAGACTTCCTGTGTTCATTTAGTAGATATCATTTTAGTAGTGGTGCCTACAACAGCGATTTCCAACTTTCACGGGGGATCAGCCAGGCATTGCATATGCAAAGTTACATTGCTCCAAGCTGGAATTTTTCTTTAAAGCTGGATTGAAGTTTCATTTTCTTTTTCACCTATTCAGGGACACAGAAAGTTGTAAACCTTTAGGCTACACAGCCACCTACAGGATGATTGGGCACAAGCAAATGAACAAAATGCAAACCAGCCCAGGGTATAACCCCTTCTACTAGTACTAGGACCTGCTAGGGTCCTGGAAGGGTGGACATATTTTTCTCAGCTCTATTGTGTAGCTCCATTATGTAGTTCAGTTGAAGTTTCATTTTTTAAATGTCCAGGAAAGCACCGTATTGTACATGTCTTACTTTTATTTCCTTGCTTGAATTAGCTCAAGCTCCAGTGAAAATTCATGATCATGCGCATGAAGCTGCAGAGAAGCAATGCTGCTTAGAAATAGTTGTCTTTCTGCAGCAGTCTGACATGCCCCCTTCCCCCTACTGAGTGTAATAGCTCAGGCTCTCTGCTGGTTGAAGAGCTCTGGCTTAGTGGGGGTGAGATGAGCACAATGGCCCTTCTCTGCAGCCTAATATCTATAAGCATGGCATTCCACTGGTGCTTAAACTAATTTAAAGTGATTCTAAAGGCTTAAATTAAAAAAGAAAAAAAAAACACAAACATGTCTATACTTACCTGCTGTGTGCAGTGGTTTTGCACAGAGCAGCTCAGATCCACCTCTTCTGGTCCCTCCCTCCTGTCGGGTGCCCCCACAGCAATCAGCTTGCTATGGGGGCACTTGAGCATGTGCACTCCTCAGCTGCTGCTCCGTGTGTACATCCACACATGGAACCGTGGCTCGTCCCCTCTCTCTTCTCATTAGCTCACTGGCTGTGATTGACAACAGTGGGAGCCAATGGCTCCGCTAATGAGGAGAGGGAGTCCCAGGACAGCCAAAACTCCAGTGCACATTGCTGGATCGAGAGGGGGCTTAGGTGAGTATTGGAGCTGGGGGGGATGCTGCACACAGAAGGTTTTTTACCTGCATGCCTAGAATGCATGAACGTAAAAAACCTTCAGCCTTTACAACCACTTACCCCTTTGCAACCACAAGCAATACAGTAAAAGTAAGACATGTACAGTGCACTGTTTTCCTGCATACTTTGCTTAACTATACACGAATAAGTGAAACTTCAGTTGGACTCTTTACTCTCCCTTCTGATCCCTATCCTTCCCTACTCCCCATTGCTCCCACCTCAAACTTCCCGTAGTCTCTCTTCCAGTTCATCTTCACTTTGCCCTCTCCTATTTCTCCAGTCCTTTCTTTGTCTGCAATACACTTTGTTTGCCCAGACATAGGACTGCAAGGCGGTGCCCTAATTTTGGATTTCCCTCCACTGCGGCTCTGTACTCAGGTGTTAGGGGATTTTAAATATGGTTTCCTTCTTTAAAGGGTTAATTCACCTTTACCAAAAAGCTGCCTATACAAATAAGTGGTGTCTGTAGATAAAAACAAGCTGTTTTTATCTACAGGCATGTCCTTGCTATAGGTGTAGACCATTTACATACCACTTGAAGCCTGACTGGAAAACTCCACACTGCATGCCAGTCAAAAAATCGGCACACCAATAACATTAAAAAAAAATTAAATGATTTTAATTCGCAACCAGAGAGGAAAAGATGGAACACATGAACTCATTTCACCCTTTAGAGTTCTTAGTCAGAGGATGATCATGCATGGACACATCCATAGAGACTGATGTCAAGAGTGGAAAGGGTGGGTGATGTTACAAAAGGATGAAATGTGTAAATGTGTAGATGTGGGGGCTTTAAAAGAGTGTCTGATCACTAACGGGTCTATTTAAAACAAAAAACAATCCCTGTGCCATTTTGAATAAGCATTGTAATGTGTCTAATATGTGTTTTGTCCTATGATCGTCAGCTCCATCTAGTGACCATAATGTGGGATTTTTTTAATTGGGTGCTTCAGGAAAATACTGCAATATGATCACTAGAAGGAGTTAGCAATCATAGAAAATACATATTCTTACTGGACCATTCCTCCCTCCCCCAGACTGTCTATTTCAAGTCCCTGGTCATGCATATAGTAAACGCAGCGAAACAGTGTCTCCCGACTCACTGGGGTTCCTACCATCAGAGAATGGCTCACTCGCATATGCAGACTAGCTGAGATGGATTAACTTATTTATATAGCCCGAGACTCCCCTACCATGCTGGTCACACTTCCAGACAACTGAGGAGTTTGCTCTTCTGACTGACAAGCCCTCCCTCTAATTACTGCATTACTATGCATCTGTGAGACCTCTCTCATTTACCCGTATTCTACGGCTAATGGCCCCCGGCAGATGTGTTTGGGTGTGAGGAGCTAGGCTCCTTCTTCTTCATCCCACAACCTTTAACAGTGTAGAAATGGGAGGAATGGCGTGCCCTGTGGGAGGAGTAAGAGACAGATGTCACCTCTTTCTGACATCTTCCCTTTACCTAATAGTCCCCATCACCCGATACCCATCCCCCCCCCCCCTTTTTTTTTTTTCCCTCTAACTTTTCTTTCCTCCCTAACGCTATACTGCACTGAACTACACTGAGTGAATACTCATCCCTACTCGATTGTTTACTATACAACTCCTTCTCTAGCGATAGTATCCCTAGCTGCTAGGGATCAATGTGATTTTAATTGACCTAGAGTCATAACAAGAACTAACATACCTCAGTACACTAGATCCTCGCGCAATCTCCAAAATAACCCATCTATATATGAATCCACGTCTCGGTCCACTACATATTTATGTATGACCCTGCCGATGCTTCTTCGTACCCCTACTCACATGTACCCTTTCCTCTTCTTTCCCTTCTGGACTCACGTCTTCCTCTTATTTTCCCAAGTTTTCCTACAGGGTTCGCCACCACCAGTTTACACGTGTTTGTGCTAACTGTTGTGACTTGCGTTTCACACACTCTCAGTGTATATGCTAGATGTTCCTAACAATATATTGATCAGATGTAACCCACATTTATGTATATGAGCCTGCCTTTCTCTATTCAATAAATCTTTTGTGAAAGAAAAAAAAAAAGGAAATACATATATTCGACACATTACGTGCACTATTTATGATGGCAGTATTTGCACAGCAAATTTTTAATAAATGGACCTCCTAAGAATTATTTGGAAAGGAAGGGTAGTGGTACAGAAGGAGACAAACCCTCTGAAACAGCAGTTATCTACATTGTTTTTAGAATTTTATTGACACTATTTTCTCCATTCCAATTTCGCCAAAAGATTACAGACCTGTCACCAAGCCCACTTAGAGCAAGACCTAAAATGATGGCCTCTTCTGCTTTATTCTGTATATCATTTTCAACTGTGTGTTACAGTCAGGTACATAAATATTGGGACATCGACACAATTCTAACATTTTTGGCTTTATACACCATGATGTGCTTTAACTGCAGACTGTCAGCTTTAATTTGAGGGTATTTACATCCAAAGCAGATGAACGGTGTAGGAATTACAACAGTTTGCATATGTGCCTACCACTTGTTAAGGGACCAAAAGTAATGGGACAGAATAATAATCATAAATCAAACTTTCACTTTTTAATACTTGGTTGCAAATCTTTTGCAGTCTATTACAGCCTGAAGTCTGGAACGCATAGACATCACCAGATGCTGGGTTTCACCCCTGGTGATTCTCTGCCAGGCCTCTACTGCAACTGTCTTCAGTTCCTGCTTGTTCTTGGGGCATTTTCCCTTCAGTTTTGTCTCAATCGGATTCAGCTCAGGTGATTGACTTGGCCATTGCATAACATTCCACTTCTTTCCCTTAAAAAACTCTTTGGTTGCTTTTGCAGTATGCTTTGGGTCATTGTCCATCTGTACTGTGAAGTGGCGTCCAATGAGTTCTGAAGCATTTGGCTGAATATGAACAGATAATATTGCCCGAAACACTTCAGAATTCATTCTACTGCTTTTGTCAGGAGTCACATCATCAATAAATACAAGAGAACCAGTTCCATTGGCAGCCATACATGCCCACTCCATGACACTACCACC